ATTCGAGGCTTGCGATTGCCTCCGTACTCCTCCTCCTGCTCGCGCTCGAATTGTTCAAACTCTCTCCTAGCTTGGTCGTGTGGATGGGGCGGTGGTTGAGCTCCATGCGGGGGTGGTCGATTGTCATGTGGAGGTGGTCGAGCGTCGAATGGTGGTGGTCGATCGTCGTGGCACGGTAGTTGATGACCTTGGAAATTCCTCAAGAGTTCTTCGAACCTTTGGTTGATGGCCTCCATCGACGCCGTGCGGTGATCAATTATGGAGGCCCTGGTGTCGACGAGCTCTCTGGTTAGGGCTTCGAACCTCGCATCAACAGATTCGCTCATGGTTTTGAATTGGCCTTCAAAGCTCTCGATTTTTTCCTTCATCTCTCGATTGGCCATGGCTTTCTTCTCTTCTCTTCGCTCTTTGCTTCGTGGACTCGTCTTTGAATAATTTATTTATTTTTTTTAGTACAAACTGACGCAAATAAATCAAAACCCAATCCCAAAAAAATCCCACTCCTATTCTAAAACTAGACTTGTGCGCAACTAATAATTTTTTTTTGTTTTGAGACCTTCGACTAATCCCAAGAAAGAAAATTAATCGAACGAAAATATATATATATATATATATATTTTTTAATCGAACGAAAATAAAAAGAATGGGAAAGAAAAAGAATGGGGAAGAAAAAAGACACACGATCTAATCAACTCTCAACGAGAGCACCAATGATGGAGATCGCGTGTCCCGACTGCCGATAAGCCGCTTGCCCGTGCCTTGAATCGCCGATAGGTGCTTCTCGAGCCACAACCGCGCCTCTTGAAACGAATAAAATTGCAATAGATTCTTGGTGAAAAACTAGAGCAAAGTGTTTGAAAAAAAGTTCAGAATTTTCTACTACTAACTAAGACTATTCAAGATTTAATTCATCATTTTATAAAATAACAAGAGGGAAGGGGCCTTTATATAGGCACAAAATATGTCTAATCCTAATCTACCTAGGGAACTAATAAAGCAATAAAATATTAAGTAACCTAAACAATCTAGATCTCATAAAGCAATAAGGAAATTAAATAACTAGGGGATCTTGTGTCTTGACTTGCACTCCAAGTAGGGAAGAATAATCTAGAGAAATTTCAGCTCAAAAGACTCCAAAAAGACTCCTTTTCTTGCTGCCAAAGTCATCCCCGCGCGCTGCCCCAGCCAGCCCAGCGCCCGCGTGCGCGTGCTGTGATGAGGATCGTATGTCTCGATTGCCGACAAGCCGCTCCCGCGCCTTAAATTGTTCGATAGGTGTTAGGAAGTCGCACACTCGCAGCCTTTCTAACGATTATAATTGCAAAAGAATTTAAGAAGAAAACTAGAGCAAAGAGTTTGAACGAAAGTTCGGGTTTTTGCATTGATTTCTGAATGAATAAATTAACAAGAGGAAGGGCCTTTATATAGGCATCAACTAGATCTAGTCCTAATATAACTATAACTCTAATAAAGCAATAAAATATTAAGTATCCCAAACAAACTAGAAAACAAGGAAATAAAATATTAATCAAGCTATTTAATTTATTTCTTGCTTGCGCCCCAAACTGCCTTGCCCGCGTCCTCGTTGCCTAATCCTCGTGCGCCTAGGTAAGTATGCGCGTGCACTTCGTCGCCTGCACGTTCAAACCCGCATCCGTCCCCGATAGTGTCGCGCGCGTCGTCTCCCGCGCGCGCGCGTCCGTCCGCATATCGCACCTTGCTGGCACGGCGACTTAACCTCCTTCGCGCATGCCACGCCCCACTTGCTGCATTTTTGAGTCTTCTCGCCGTGTCCGCATCATTCCCGTCCCCTTCAAGTGCTTCCTTGTCCTCAAGGAAGAAGTCGGGGAACATCTCGCGCATCTCGTCCCAACTCTGCCAAGTTGCTTCCTCGCTCGGTAAATCCTCCCATTCGACGAGCACTTCCCAAAAATATTTTCCAGCCTTTTTGACTTGCCGATACTCTACCGCACGGCTCGGCCGCACCATAACCTGCCCGTCCGGTGCGACCGCGGGTAGTCGATCCTTTGCCGCATGCGCTTCGCCGAGTCGTTGCTTGAGTTGTGAGATGTGTATGACCAGATGGATATGGGAATCGTCCGACAACTCAAGTCGATAAGCAACCTTCCCAACCTTGGCCAAAATTTTCTAAGGCCCGTAATATCGAACTCCGAGTTTGGTCGCGGCCCTTTGCGCGGCCGTCCTTTGCCGAAATGGCCTCTACTTCAAGTATACCCAATCCCCGGGCTCAAACTCTACGTCGCGCCTCTTGCCATCATGGTACGCCTTCATCCTATTGATCGAGCCCTCCAACGTCCGCTTTAGTTCGCGCAACATCAAGTCACGCTCGACCAACTCTCGATCGACCTCATCGTTTACGGCGCTCCCCATCGAGTAACTCACGATCTTCAGCAGTTTGCGCCCGTACACCAACTCGAACGGCGTTGCCTTAGTCGAGCTATGGTAAGTGGTGTTATACCAATACTCGGCCCAAGGTAAATAATTCTCCCATCGCTTTGGAAATTGATGCACATAGCACCTAAGGTACTGCTCGAGCGTGCGATTGGTCACCTCTGTCTGTCCGTCGGTTTGTGGATGATAAGTTGAGCTCATGCTTAGCTCGGTTCCCTGCAATTTAAAGAACTCCGACCAGAAACTACTCATAAATATCTGATCTCGGTCGGAAACAATTGACCGCGGCACCCTATGCAATTTCATCACATATTCGACAAATAATTTTGCTATAGACTTAGCCGTGTATGGATGAGTAAGTGGAACAAAATGTGCATACTTGGTAAGACGGTCGACTACCACCATTACTCCATTGAACCCATTCGAGAGTGGCAACCCCTCGATAAAATCCATGGTGATGTCCTCCCAAATACGTGCGGGGACCGGCAATGGTTGAAGCAGTCCGCCCGGTCGACGTGCGTCCGCCTTAGTGCGTTGGCACTCATCACATCGCCCAACGTAGTCGCGCACATCGCCCCTCAGTCCTGACCAATAAAAAGTGCTCGCAATCCTGATCCATGTCCGGAACACCCCGGAATGTCCTCCAAACTTCGAGTTGTCGAAGTGCCGGATGATGTCCTCGCGCAACGATCCCG